TAATGGGTCTTTAACCAACATTTCATCAACTTTAAAAAAAATCTTTATAAATTTTCATCATAACATTTTAATATAAAGCTTCAAATAGTTTTACAACAGCCTCTCTTCTATTGCAAATATGTACACAAAATAAAAAAATACTTATCTTTGTAAATTATACAAAATCATTCTAAGGAAACTATGTATACAAAAATCATAAAAGTGAACAAGACGGTCATGATGACCCTAATAAACCAAGTATATAGAGGATATTGAATGAGTGTAACTTCAATACTGAATTTATTGCACAAGTTGAATAAAATTATATTATGCTAGCCTCTCAACGAGTACAATAAATTCAGTAATGACTTACAAGAATTTAATATTCTATTTATCACATACCCAAAATAAAGACCGTTTACAGTGAAATATAAAGAGTCATTTTTCATTGAAGCGCCTATGGTTTAACGCTAATATTTAGCGCGTCTTTACACTATGTTTGTGTAACGCTTATGACGTCACGTCAAAATATATGCATGGCCGTGCAATACATTATTTACGGAGTCGCAAAATCGGCACGGGTGTGTGATAAAAGTAATTATTACAATCTTTACAACTTTGTTGTATGAGAGTATTATTACTGATATGAGAACAGGATATATATTGAATACTTATACATAATACAAAAATACTAATCTTTGTAAATTATACAAAATAATACTATGGAAACTATATACATATACACACAAAAAAACATCTCTTAAAGTAACAAGAAGGCCATGATGACCCTAATTTGCCATATTTCACGTCATAGTAGCATGACAATATCCCATCCTTCTGGATGTATCCTTATTGTGTTACCTTAATGTATGTTTATTACATATACATAGGTAAATAATATACATGTCATTTTTTGATCACTAAATATAAATTATGTACATGCATATAAACATACTAGTTTGACAATGAGATACACAGTACCTCAAACACAAAAAAATAGTATTAAAACTTACAGATAACTATAAACATCTGTATATACTTAACTGAAAAAAAAAAACAATATCAAATCTGACTAGAACATGGATAAGCAATACATTAATATATTATGTACAAATATACAGATCAAACTATAACTATAGCTTTACACCACTTAAGCACACATCTACTGAAAGTTTAAGATACTTTTTTCACCTCTCTTTATTAAACCAAGGAGGCATTTGTGTAGTTTTATAAATTCCTTAAAGACTTTTGAAAGTTAATACGGTTAATTATATAAAAACTGTTTTCTATTATAGCCCGAAAGCATCGGTTATATTAAATTACAGCCATTTAATCTAGGTCATATAACTTGTTGAGTCATCCAACCAATGATATATTTTTATCTTAAAATAGAATGGTCTGGAAAGGCGCTATGTTAATTCTTCTCGCCACAATTTAGTATCTCTTGGTATAACTCAGTACAGTTTTCTATACGCTGATTATGTAGATTATGTAAGTGTTCAAGAACAGGGCAAAAGCTAAATATAGGAGCAAACATGAATATTCTGGCAACATGGTGTGCTTTAAAAATCTTTAAACATGTGAAAGAAAGATAAATATTTCAGAAAATAATGTGATAAAGCCATGATCTATTGAAAATTCTAACATGACCCGCATTTTTCCCTATTGAACATAGAAGAACCGAGAGTGTGTGTTATTATGCTATAAAATCACTGTTTGACTTTCTATATTTAGACAAGTGACGTAATCATTATACATGTGACGTAACCACTAAAAATGTGACGCGCTGACAATAAGTACGGAAACAAATCAGGCGCGATTAAGCTAATTGTAATGTACGGCAGCATTAATTTGTTGATGTCGTGTTAGAATCAAAATAATATATCCAGATCAGTGATTTTATCGCTTGATAACATCACTGTTTGTCGTTCGGATGCGCATCATTATATCACTCGGGCTACGCCCTCGTGATATAATTCCTCGCATCGGAAAATCACAGTTTGGGATATATTATTTCTTAAATAGAATGTTTGCAAACAAATGGCGCCATTTTGGAAATACATCAAATTTAACATCAAATATTTGTAAATGACATTATGAAATATTATAAAATCTTCACATGATAAGATTAAACAACATTTTTCTTTGTAAAATTAATTTCTATTTTGCAATTGAACAGTGAAATTGGTCCGACTCTAGACCATTCTATTTTAAAGACCTTGTCTAAATTAAGATATAACAAGTAGCAAAATGCAACATATAAACAATTGCTCTAATTAATTTCTCTGTAGTTATATTGCAACTTTCAAATTTGATTTTCCTTTTTGTAAGCGTAAAAAGTAGCAAATCAACAAACTTAAACTTATCAAAATTACTGAAAATTGTTCAATCAATATACTGGGATCCTAATATTACCGGACAAAATATGATGTTTTTTCGCTGAAACTTTTATTTAAAACAATAAAAAAGAATGGAATTTACCCAAATAATATTGGGTTCATAATGCAAGTAAACATTACTTTAACAAACATGAAATTAAACATTTGACCGTAGAGATGTGTCTTTAAAGTAGGGCATTATAAGAGAGACAAAATCGAGGAAACTACGACGATTGAAAGACAAGGTTAAGATATTGGAAAAAAACAATATGTCTGTAAAACTAGACACGGCAGATACGCAATTTACGAAAAGGTCAATATATGGGATGTAATTAAAATTAACACTATTAACTCAATTAACGTATTGGTTCTTCATGAATCTAAACATATGAAATAATTTGATGTTCAAATGGAATTCTGTTATTTGTCATACTGTTTCCTTTTGGTCATCATGTAGCATGTTACAAAAGCCATAAAATCTATCTGATTTAATATTCATGTAATAGAGTTTCCTCCCATGTGCATAACCCATTTCCTTATATGGCTTTTAATTTGCATTTCTTTGTAAATGACAACAACGAGATACTGTTTGGACTAAATTTAAATTTTTTTAATCATTAAAATATGTTACGATTGTCTCCTGTAATAACGGTGAGAAGAATAAAAGTAAAACCTATCTAAAATAACCCATTAAGGCACAGTCTCCATATTCAGGCCTGCGCAGAACAGATTATTTCCCCCGCATGACCATGTCATGAAATAACTAGTAAACAAAAGGGCATGTTTGTAGATAAAGAACTGAATCAACAATATTTACATGAGAGTGGTTTTGTTGTTATTTACTTTGAAATAAAAAGTGTGTGTACGATTTAGACTGTATGATTTTTTAATCAAAGCAAAAAACAACAACACTTTTTGACCTGAATAGCTTTTGTCCGGTAAACTGATTGTCCGGTAATATGTAGGACCCCAGTAATGATTTTTTTCAAAGCTTGTCATTATGTAGTGATATGTTTAACTATTTCACTCTAAAATAGCGGAACACATAATTTAATCTTATTAAAATAAAAACAATTTCAATCATACTTTCTTTAAAGTGAATTGGTCTAAAATGGAAGATCTAAATACATGTACCATAAATAATTATTTTTATAGTTAGTATTTAGTTTGATACATGTATGTTAAAGCAAACCACAAAAAATGTATATCGGTGTTGTTGGCAAGACTGTTGGATAAATGATCCGAACAATATATTAATAGATAACATATAATAGAGTTTTTTAGAACAAAATGTTATAATTAATTCACCATATATTGTGTTCATACTAAATCATTTTAGAACTCTATCAACAGTTCCAAAATCTATCAAAAATGCATATATCTTATTGTCTAATTGTGGTCTTGTTGGAAAATGTGCAAATTGTAGACCAATCCACTTTAATTACAAACTTTTTTTACAAGTTTTATTTCTGTTTTCTAAAGGTATGTGAGTAGTTCACAAACAATGTTTCCAGAAGGATATTTTCAAATATTTGACAGCGGCCATGGTAAGAACTTCCTTTACAGATGTAAATTCTCCTTGAAGAAAACAAGTTTAAGTACAAACGATGCAAAAGTTTGCTGGTCTGTCTTTGTTTCAGCATTTAGGAACTAGAAGATTGTACAAGGTATTGGTGATGCACTGTTTTTAAACAATTTTCTTTTGGATATATTTCTGCAAAGCCAGGAACCAGGTGTTAAGTATAATTCATATTGGACTCTAGTAGAAGCATAGTTGCTGTAGATTTACTTGAGCTGATTTTCTGAAAAAAATAGTATAAATGAGAAAATCTAAATATAACAGTGTAGATTACAGGATTTATTAAGTATAATAATATATTTTATGTGTTTTATGATTCACACGCATTAAAAATGAACCTGAGTAAATGCAAATAATAAAATTCCATACTCGTAAGGAACTAACTAGTTTATTTATTATAGTGGCATGTGTGAACATTTTTTTTTATAAATCAAACATACAACATATATAATGCATCTAGCCCAATCGCCTATAGGTCTCCTTCATTTGTAAAAATAGTTGCCATAAAGTGATAGAAATAGAATATATTTAAATTGCCCTTTATTATATGGATCATTATAAGTCCTCGACCTGAGTAGAACCACAGACCTTCTGTAAGCAAATTGAATTGAATAAAACATCTTCCACCGGACAGCTGAAATGACTTATTTAAGCATATTAGCTGGAATACAAGTAGAATTACGGACCATCTGTAAGCAAACTGAATTGAATTATTTAGGCACAACCTGATATCCGATATTGAGTCAACCAACTTAATTGAATAATATAGGCATGAGCTGACAAGTTCAGAGGGGAACCTCGGGCATTCCGTGAAGGAACAAAATTGAAAAATACACCTTCCCCAAGCCAGCTGAATTGAATTTTTTAAGCACAAGCTGGTATCAGAGTAGAACCACAAACCTCTGTAAGCCAACTGAATTTAATCATTTAGGCTAGAGCCGACATCTAAGTAGAACAACAGCCTTCTGTCAGTCATATGAATTAAACTTTTTGACAAAAGCTGATATTTGGTTTAGAGGCACAAGCTGATATACGAGTACAACCGACTAACCGGAGTACAGCTGGCCAACTGAGTAAAAATATGGGCATGTGATGACATCACAGTAAAAACCTCTGGCCTGCTGAAAGCCATCTGGGCATAATAGCTGACATCTGAGTAGAACCACTGCCTTCTGTCAGTCATATGAATTAAACTTTTTGACAAAAGCTGATATTTGGTTTAGAGGCACAAGCTGATAAACGTCAGTACAACCGACTAAACTGAGTACAGCTGGCCAACTAAGTAAAAATATGGGCATGTGATGACATCACAGTAACAAGAGGGCCATCATGGCCCTGAGGTCGCTCACCTGTATATAGGCCCCCCCACCCCGGGCCAATTTTTACCCAAGGGCTTTTATTTGTTTATTTGAACAGACTTGGTAGACACCCATAAGAAGATGTTTCATGCTAAACATCTAAGTTCTAGCTCATTGGCTTTTTTAAAAGAAGATTTTTAAAGTTTTTACTATACACATATAGTTAAAAACAATGACACCCCTGGGGCCAGTTTTGACCCCCGGGCATTTATTTTAACAAACTTTGTAGATATTTACTTAAAGATGTTTCATGCTTAATATCTAAACTCTAGCTATTTGGGTTTTTCCAAAGAAGATTTTTAAGTTTTTGCTATACACATATAAGGAAAATCAATGACCCCCACCCCCCCCCCCCGGCGGGGCCAGTTTTGACCCCAGGGCTTTTATTTGAACATACTTGGTAGACACCCATTAGAACATGTTTCATGCTAAATATCTTAGCTCTAGCTCTTTGAGTTCTTTAAAAGAAATTTTTTAAGTTTTTACTATACGCATATAGGGAAAATCAATGACCCCCGTGGCGGGGCCAATTTTGACCCCAGGGCTTTAATTTGAACTAACTTGGTAGACACTCACTAGAAGATGTTTCATGCCTAATATCTTAGCTCTAGCTCTTTGGGTTCTTTAAAAGAAGATTTTTAAGTTTTTACTATATGCATATAGGGAAAATCAATGACCCCCTGGGGTGGGGCCAATTTTGACCCCAGGGCTTTTATTTGAACAAACTTGGTAGACATTCACTAGAAGGTGTTTCATGCCAAATATCTAAGCTCTAGCTCTTACGGTTCTTTAAAAGAAGATTTTTTAAGTTTTTACTATATGCATATAGGGAAAATCAATGACCCCCAGGGGCGGGGCCAATTTTGACCCCAGGGCTTTTATTTGAACAAACTTGGTAGACACCCATTAGAACATGTTTCATGCTAAATATCTTAGCTCTAGCTCTTTGGGTTCTTTAGAAGAAGATTTTTTAAGTTTTTACTATATGCATATAGGGAAAATCAATGACCCCCCCCGGGCGGGGCCAATTTTGACCCCAGGGCTTTTATTTGAACAAACTTGGTAGACACTCACTAGAAGATGTTTCATGCCAAATATCTAAGCTCTAGCTCTTATGGTTTTTTAAAAGAAGATATTTAAAGTTTTTTCTTTCGGTTGCCATGGCAACCAGAGTTCTGCATGGAATTAAATTCTTTGAACAATTTTTAAAGGTAACCACCAAAGGAACATTCCTGTGAAGTTTGGATGAAATTGGCTCAGTGGTTTATGAGGAGATGTCATTTAAAGCAAAAGTTTACGGACGGATGGACGACGGACGGACGGACGCCGGACGAAAAGCGATCACAAAAGCTCACCCTGTCACTTTGTGACAGGTGAGCTAAAAACCTCAGGCCTGCTGTAAGCCATCTGGGCATAATAGCTGACATCTGAGTAGAACCACTGCCTGTTGTCAGCTAAATTAATTTAACTATTTGGCCTAAGCTGATATCCGAGTAGAACCACTGACCTTTTCATAAGATAACTATAGTACCAAACTTTGCTTATGAATAAGCTCAGATGGTATTCAGAAACTCGGCTTACAAACTTGGTGTAAAATTAAATATTTTTTCAACATTTCCCTAAAAATCATTCTGTTTATGATTTGGCTGAATGAAGCAATTGTCCATTGATATTTTATTTTACTATCTTTATTGGATAATTTAAGATTTACCTTGTCAACAAAGGAACATGGTATTTTTATTGCTCGAAATAATCTGTAACTACACAAATCCATATTGTAAAATGTCACAAGAGATTCTGCATCACAACAATTTTGATCCATGGCCGCTGAAACGAGAAATAAGACACAAGATTAACGCATAATAAGTATCTTATTAATGAGGAAATTTTGCAGAACAATGTCTTATTCTAATCTAGTTAAATGTTTGTGAACAAGAGGGTCATGATGAACCTTATGTCGCTCACTTGATTATAAAGGCTCTACTGATATGGAGCAATAAATTTTGTAAGTTATGAATGAAATGCAGATTCTCATCTTAAACTGATAATTATCACAAAGTTCATATAAGCATCTCAAATATTGTACATTTAAGATAAATGTCTCTGCAAGGCGGGACGTGTAACACTCAGCTTTTTCTCTTCTTTGTTGCTATGAAAATCAATGGTTGCTAAGTAAAGTCAAAATTTGTTAGGTTGCTATGAAAAGTCAATGGTTGCTATGGAATGTCAACTGCTGCTATGAAAGTCATTTGTTGCTATGGAAAGTTAACGGTTGCTTTTGAAAACAGTGGTTGCTATGGAAAGTAAATGGTTGTTATCTATATATATGTCATTAGTTGCTATAGAAGTTAAAGGGACTCCACTGAGGTTTTAAAGCCTAAAAACATAACATTTGAATTCCTTACATAAATCAGCAGGGTACTTAAATTGAACAGGAATATATGCAAAGATAGCTTAGAAATTTACTTTGAAATAAATGAAAAATGGTATTTTATGATTTTCTTAGCCCGATTTGAGTGAGCAGTGTTTAAACGCTTTTCATTTTAGGTCATTTTTTACAATTTGAATAATTATTCTGGAAAAAAGCAGTGCCGGAATGATCTGAAATTTTGCACAAAGATTAGTGGTCTAAACCCTACATTAAATGGTACATTTATCTGGAAAAACTATTTTCAGTCCCATCATGTCAAAAAAAAACCTCAGTGGAGTCCCTTTAATGGTTGCTAAGTATTAAAATAGCAATGATTGTTAAACATTTAGAATCTAAGGAAAATCCATGACTCTTTCAATGGGTGCACAGGATTCCGGGTCAGCTCGGCCCTAAAACGTACTCGGCCCCGAGTCAGCTCGGCCCTATACCAACTCGGCACGGGTCAACTCGGCCCACTTTTCAATTATTTATATTTAAGTTTGTGTAATCACTATTTTTTGTAATATTTGTAATTATGTATAATACACGGACTTAATTTTCAGCTTTTGACAATTACAAACAAATTAAATGAAATTGGTTAAAGACATTAAAGGGACTCTTATTGTCACAGGCTATTATTATCAATCAGTGTGTTCGTAAGGATACCGATTAATTAGGTGATAATTATGATTGACGAATTCATTTAAAATTGATTAGTGACCACCTGCAATTAATTAGAAGCTTAATTATGATATTAAGTAAACATGTTTTTGTTTGATATTTTTTTTAATATTACTACGTTAAATATATTTTTTTAAAGTGGGCCAAGTTGACCCGTGCCGAGTTGACCCGTGCCGAGTTGGTATAGGGCCGAGTTGACTCTTTTCCGTGCACAGACGCTGGGGGGGGGGGTCAGATCCTGCCCCCAACGTGATACACCCCTGTAAACACTCTATCAAAAATATTTAATTATTTAAACACCAATGGGACATCTGCTACAACGATATAACTGGTTTTCAAACAATTTTTACATATCTGAAAAAATTACCTTTTACCATCAAGTCTCAATAAAGTTTATTGAGTTGGGTGGGGCCAATTTATATCGACCCTGATTCTATACATTTGTAATTTGAACTTGCTAGAATTCACAAGACAATAGTTTATACCAATAGTTCAGATGGTTTTATAGAAGATGATTATTTTCGTCTTAACTATAAAAATGCATACGCGTATGTATGTATTATAAAAAAAATTATAAGACCCCTTGGGGCTGGTTCAATTGAGACCTCCAGGACTACAATTTGAAAAAACTTAATAGAGGTCCACAAAACAATATTTCATTCAGAATATCTATTAGCCTTTATGATTTTAGAGAATTATATATCTATTTTGGTTTTTACTTTTACTACATACATATAAAGACAATCTACCCCCCCCCCCGGCAAACTAGGGAAATTTTGCCCCCCAAGCTATAATTTGTATAAACTTGTTTGAGGAGCACTGGACAATGTTTCATGTAAAACACCTAAACTTCAAGGCCCTTAAGATTTTTAAAGTTTTATGCGTAAATCAAAAATCCATGACCCCCCTTTTATTAATCCAACAGCTATAATTTAACAAACTTGATTGATTCTTGACAAATATTTAAGATTAAACCTTCATTGTATAAGGGAACAATATCTAAAATGTTACCAATATACATTTAAGGAAAATTTAAGACCCCCTCTGTTGGGCAAACATTGACCCAAGGACTTTAATAATTTAAACATACTTGGTACAGGTAAACTAGACAATGTTTAATGCAAAATACCTTAGCTTTAGTAATGATTGATTTAGAAAAGATGACTTTAATTATAAGAAAAAAATTATGCCCCCCCCCACCACCAGACTGAGTCAGTTTAGACCCTAGGGCTACTATATGGTTTAAAGGAAACTGGTTGACAGGTCAGCATTTAATGTTATTAAAGGAGACACTTTTAAAATTAATTAATAATTTAAAGAGTCTGGCAATTAAATTGTTACAAAAAATAAAAATCTAACGAGAATATTTCCGAAAATAAGAAAAGAAAAACAATCTTAATTTTCTAAATTAATAAAATGTATAGGAGATAATAGAGAGTTAATTAATAACCTGTGTTCACCTACATGTATGTATAAAAAATACTTTATTTTGATAAAAAAAATATCGTGTTTGGGAAAAAAAATCATGGTAGATCCTAAATATTAACTAGAGGATGCTTTTGTAAAAAAGCGCATGTCTCCCCCACTGCTGAGAATAACTGTGAATGGAAACAGGAATGGAAATGGAGATAAGATAATGTAAATACCCGGTAGTCACTTCAATGAAGGCTGTCTATGGATGGTTTCTATTGTTAAGGTTGTATGAGAAGATGCTTCCTAAACTGTTTGTTTTTAACCAGGTATTCAATTTTGAAAATCCTGGTTATTCAATCAGCGTATGGCAGGTGGGCGTCAAACGAAATTGCACTTGATGGTCATATCATATATAGTTTCACAAATGAAATTAAATGAAATTGTGTCTGCTCCGTAATTCTTCAAACCTTTAAAGGATTTTGATGATACTTGAAACAAACGTTTGACCTACTGACCCCAAAAACAATAGGGATCATCAGCTCTATAAGACCAATCATCCTATGAAGTTTGAGGGCTGTAGGTCAAAAGGAACTCTAGTTATCATCCGGAAACGAGAAATTGACCAACGGTCACTGTGACCTTGACCTTTGAACTACTGACCCCAAAAACAATAGGGATCATCTGCTCAATAAGACCATTCATCCTATGAAGTTTGAGAGCTGTAGGTCAAAAGGAACTCTAGTTATCGTCCGGAAACGAAGAATGGACGGACGGACTGACGGACGGACGGACTGACGGACGGACAGGGCAAAAACAATATGTCTCCCCCCAGTTTGAGGGTTGTAGGTCAAAAGGAACTCTAGTTATCATCCGGAAATGAGAAATTGACCAACGGTCAGGTCACTGTGACCTTGACCTTTGACCTACTGACCCCAAAAACAATAGGGATCATCTGCTCTATAAGACCAATCATCCTATGAAGTTTGAGGGCTGTAGGTCAAAAGGAACTCTAGTTATCATCCGGAAACGAGAAATTGACCAACGGTCACTGTGACCTTGACCTTTGAACTACTGACCCCAAAAACAATAGAGATCATCTGCTCAATAAGACAATCATCCTATGAAGTTTGAGGTCTGTAGGTCTAAAGGAACTCTAGTTATCGTCCGGAAACGAGAAATTGACCAACGGTCAGTGTGACCTTGACCTTTGACCTACTGACCCCAAAAACAATAGGGATCATCTGCTCTATAAGACCAATCATCCTATGAAGTTTGAGGGCTGTAGGTCAAAAGGAACTCTAGTTATCATCCGGAAACGAGAAATTGACCAACGGTCACTGTGACCTTGACCTTTGAACTACTGACCCCAAAAACAATAGAGATCATCAGCTCTATAAGACCAATCATCCTATGAAGTTTGAGGGCTGTAGGTCAAAAGGAACTCTAGTTATCGTCCGGAAACGAAGAATGGACGGACGGACTGACGGACGGACGGACAGGGCAAAAACAATATGTCTCCCCCCGAGGTGGGGGAGACATAATTAAAAAGTTGATTTATTTAAATCAAATATATTTTCAAGTAAAAGTTAATATACCAGTATTGTTCACTGTTAATAATCCATTTCAGTTCTTATACATACTGTATGCATCTATAACAAAAAACAAAAACAAAAAACAAACAACAAAAAAATCAATATAAAATCACTTACCTGTTAAATATTTCCATATCCTAATCCAACTTTTATATCCATTGAATTCCGTAAAAACTTCCTTGAATTATTTCTATTATTTAAATGTTTTTATTTATAAACAATTGTCACTTAAATTATTAATTGAAAACGAAAGTACATGTGTCCTTGTTAAAGTTTGAAGAGCCGCCATTTTGTTTCTAAGTGTCCATAATTAAATTGTTTTTATTAATTAAAATCATTTAAGTAATGTCTTCAATTTATTTCATAATGTTTTTCCATGTCTATTCTTTGCTTGGTTTTATTGTTTTGAACTCAAATGGCTGCAGCCCCAACCTGCCCTCTCGTATCACATGAAAAGTTTGTGATCTCCGAATATTTTCTCTAACACGGTCATACTCTGTTTCCGGTTTAATGGCTTCCATCACTACTGTAACTGACTGCGGCAGATTTTTCAGCACGGAAATAAAGTTCTGTAAACTTCCTGCAGACATTTCTATCCCCTTCAACTCCACATGTTCAATATTCAACATGTCACGTGACAGTAACAATGAACTTTCATCTAGATTGATGTACCACAACATAACATAAACTAATGACGGTGTTGTTATATTTAATTGTAGCCTCCAAGGTAACGAAAACAAGTATAACTTTGATAGAGTTGAATGTTGAGACAAGTCCAAGTTCCATCTCTTACAATCATGGCGGCCATGTTCTTTACAGTTTAACCATTCCAATGTTAACTCTTTCATTGATTTTTGACCGGAGATAAAATTGAAAAATGTTTCCAGTATTTTGTGAGATAACGTGAAGTTGTCAATATATAAATATTGTAAGTTTTGACATCGCGCCATGTTTTCACTGAGACTTTCTTCATCATTTGTCCATGTACCCGACACCAAAGTAACGTACTGTAAACTGGGAAAAAATATCCGACTTATCTTAGTCTCCAACTTCTCCTCCATGATGTCACCAAGATAGACAAGTTTCTGTATATGACTGAGATCTGTGAGAGAGAATAAATTTATAATTATACGTAAACTGCTGCAAGTACGGTAGGTGTCTATATAAAGTGATTTTATGTTGGTTTTATTTTGTTTTAATAAACGTCGTAACTGCACACTGTGTACCTTGGTGATCCCTTCAATGATGAAATCTTGTAAACATAATTGAATATTTTCACTTTCAGGCATTTCTTGAAAACACGACATGAACATTTCCTGTATGTTATACAATGGATTATTGTATATGCCCTCGTTACCTGTCCTAGTTCTATAGTCGCGTGTTTTCTCGTCTTCATTTATCACAGACATCAAATCATTTGATATTGCACACATCAGGTCAGCATTCATTTTACTTATAAATTCACAAATTTTTGACATGTCCAGAATGTCTTGAACATTTCTACATTTTTCTACAACAGTTTTCTGAGCGTCACTTTGAGAATTTATAAATATGGCGGCAAAGAATTCTTGCACTGTTTTGTGAGAAAACGATACTTTACTAAACTCTTTTCTGGCTGTTTTAAATGTACTTTCTGACAACATTCCTGAGTGAAGGGTGAATTTAATCTCGTCTTGTGTGAGATTTTTTCTAGCAATTGATCCATCAAATACTAGCGTGTTTTCTTTTGTTTCATTGAATAATGTATAATAGGCTAATTTCCCTATATGCATCAGGAGTGAGTAGTATTTCGTACAGTTGTCATATTCAGCAAAGCATTCTGGGATGTCACTGGAAGAAAGTTCCGGTGATTGTGGAAGCTCACCGTGGATCTTGATCGTTCTCGATAAAAGAAGTTCGACTATATTTATATAAAGATCACATTTTGAATCTCCTATTTGAACACCCTCGCACCATAAACAGGTTGTATATATTAGAAGTAGAGGCACAAAGGCAAGCTCGTCGTTTCCTCTCTTATTGATTGTTTTCATGAACTGTGTGACGTCACTATGTAATGCATCCTTGTTCGGGTAAGACTTCCATCTTTGTAATATCCTTTTTGTTAGTGTGACCGATGAGTTATAACACAGTTTTGTAAGTTCTATCTTTTTCCCTAATTGGCATGAATTTAGATCCAAAACACCTAATTTCCATGGTCGCGTGGTGGTCAGTATTGTACACTTCTTTTGGTCATTCCTGTGGGGGATCGATCGGGGCGATCTGTAACATTTCTTGTCGGGGTGACTCCATTCATCTAGTCCATCAAGGATAATTAGGCATTTCTCATTCTTCAAAATTTTAAGCAAGATATCTTTGGAAAGCGTTTCTTCTAGACCCAAATTTGAAACAATCTTTTCAAATATGAGCTCATCTATAGAACACAAATCGTCCGAATCTCGCAATAAGACAAGGAATAAGAAATCAAATTCTTTCATACAGTCTATATCATCTTTTGACAAAAGTTCATTTAAGTCTTTATCCGGGCAATGAGCTTGACACCACACATTAGCCAGATACTTTGAAAATGCAGTTTTTCCGAGCCCAGCATCAGCGAGTACATATATTTCTCGATTTTCCGTTTTGTCAAATTTGAATATCTCCGATAACGATTTGACTGGTATTTTTTCATCATTTCTCGTCGATGTTGAGAGTATTGAGCTCAGTTCCGGTCTGATATAGAAAGAAGCCAACGGTGTGTCTTTCTCTTCAAAAAGAGGCGACAGGAATATTTTACTGTGTCTTGTTTTGTAGAATTCAAAGAGACCATCTTTAACTTCTGAAATATATAATAAAAACACACATATAAATACTAATGAAATTGAAATTAATTCAAAGAACAGATGATAAATGAAAACTGTATAAATATTTTAAGGTACTTATTTGTTATGAAATAAACATCCTCAATGAGTGTATAAATTTAAGCTTTGCATCATAATATGAGCCGTGTTATGACAAAACCAACATAATGGGTTTGCGACCAGCATGGATCCAGACCAGCCTGCGCATCTGCACAGTCTGATCAGGAACCACGCTGTTTGCTATCAGTTTATCTACTTGTAATAGGGTTTGTAAGCGAACAGCATGGATCCTGATCAGACTGCGCGGATGCGCAGGTTGGTCTGGATTCATGCTGGTCGCAAACCCAAAATGTTGGTTTTGTCGTGACGCAGCTCAATTATCATTTCTCATTAATATGCAATAGATAGATGTTTTTAAACCACATTTTGTAGTGGACTGCAATGTAGAAATTCGAAACACTAATGACAATGACAAATATCAAAACAATTAATAATTTGGCAAGTTATTGGTATTATGCACATTTAAAAATGACATAACTTTAGATTTTACCCTTATAGTATCCATAAACACGACAACAAATGCTTAGTACTTACATCTAACGGCTATGTCATCTTAGAAATATAAAGATTTGCCGTTCAATTGCTAAATAATGATATAGTGCAACGGTAACCAATATCTTTCTACTTCCTTTAAGTACATTTGTTTCTTACATGTACTATAATTATTTTTATGCAAATTCTGTTACAACTTTTATTTATACTTGTCAATAATACTTCTAGGCTAACTTACCGTACAGTTACTTAAAACATCTTACAACACACAGGATTTGAATTCTGTGGCTATAAAGATTATTTAACACTTTTATGTTGAAAAAAATATATGTTAAATGAATAAATAAAAATCTACTTGTAACAAACAATGTCACGGATATGAACCGTTTTTCAATTAAACAATATTGGCGCAACATGCTTATTAAAACATTTGTGACTATCAGTAATATAATTATTTCATGTTTTTTCTTTTAAATAAATAGAAAAAAGTCAAAATATGTTTCATTTCGTTAAAAGAACAAAAAAGAAGAACAAATCAATCACATAAAAACATGTTTAGACTGATTTGTTAATTTCTACATTTCATTCAGTTAAATTAATTTTCATAATGTCAAAGTAACTACTAGTATGTTGTGTATAACCTTTGCAGTGTTCCTAGATATAATCTACCAGTGCTGACTTTGTACCAAGAAAGTGCTGTTCATATTCAATTAAGTGACAGAACTTATAAATCGAATATTTTGTTCTGGTCAATCATTTAGGGGAATTGGGTAATAGTCTTTATAAAGCCCTTAGCACTAAATCATGCTATTGGTTCAAATGCAATAATGTCTACAATTTCATTTTGAACAATATTACACTACCGAATAAATTTATATAAATTTATAAAGATGATTTGAGCCGCGTCATGACAAAACCAACGTAATGCGTTTGCGACCAACATGGATACAGACCAGCCTGCGCATCCGCGCAGTCTGATCAGGGTCCATGCTGTTCGCTTATCAACCCTATTACAAGTAGTGAAATTGATAGCGAACAGCATGGATCCTGATCAGACTGCGCGGATGCCCAGGCTGGTCTGGACCTATGCTGGTCGCAAACCCACTATGTTGGTTTTGTCATGACACGGCTCATTTGTTTTATATTACATGATAACAGTGTATTTATTCTCAACGATATTCTACATAAAGAGGACAATCACAGATTGAGTCGCTCACCTGAAAACCATTGCAATGTTTATACAAATTCCAAAATTTAGTTTGATTTATAATGAATGGACACACGTAGCAACTTCGATCGAATGGATAAGATTTGAACAATCACGACTTGTGACAATAAAGCCAAAAATAAAAATATGTACTTTCTATACTAAAAAAAAATTGTAATAATTTATACACTTAACAAATGACGTACACTTTGAATGGATCAAGTTGGTTTATTCTGAAACACTTAATAACTTTGTTTGTCAAACATTAATCAAATGTTACGCACCTTTATATACATGTATGACAAATCAGAGGAGGAAAAAAAAAACATCATTGAATTCTTTTTTTCATGTCTTCATATCACTGCTGCATGTACACAGCATTGAAAGGTAATTTAAAGGATATAAAATAATACTGACAATGTTTACAGACACTTGGGAGTCAGACCCAGATTTAAGGGGCCCCGATCTGTCCCCACGAGTGTCTGTCTATGATTATATCAATGGTCAATGTCTCACTCTACGGGAATAGTGTATTTTAGGGCTAACATTTGGGCGAAATGCGACACAATTTCCCAGCTTAAGGATTTTATTTTCTTGCTATTTCTTAAAAAAATAACAAAAAAAACAACAACAACAACAACCCCATCAAAAGTGATTGTTTACTTTTTCATAAGAGTGAAACGGACAGTGACACTGTCGTTTGAAAACAAAATGGTATTGATCCACAATTGACATTTCTATCTTTATACATACAGAAATTTCATATATCCCCTAATTCCCCCCTGTTTGTGTGCATGCCACTATTCCACTGAATTTTGAGGGACAATCTGACCGTAAATTACCAACTCCAAGTGTCTAACATTTCTTAGTAGCTTCATACACTGATCCGAAGGAACAGACTGAGAGGAAAGGAAAAATAAATATTCCCTCCACCCCCTCAAAATATTGAGACCAGAGTTAAAATTTACTAAGCATTTGTCCGGCATTATACATGTTATAGATTACATGTGATAGATAAAATCAATCAAAAGTCGTTATCAGCAGTATCCAATTTTTGTGAATGGAAAAGAAATATGTAAATTTATTTAAAAGTTAAGTTATAAATAATAAATACAGAAAAAATACAACAAATTCTTACCAAGACATTATTGGAAAAAAAAGAAAAAAAAAACAAATTCCTGGTTAATTATTCTCGTCTGGAGTTTCGTACTAAATGAACTGCAACTGACATAATTTAATGACTATTTCATATGAAGAGACAACTGTCATTAGATCTATTTAAAGATTATTAACTCATATGGCGCGAAAATATCATTAAATGGCGCGAAAAAAAGCTTAAGGCTATCGCATTAACGCAACATTGCAAAGAAGGTAAAAATCGGATCGAATTCCCGCATTACGACTAGAGGTATAGAATAAACCTTGAATGAGTTATATGTACATTCCATTTTCCGTCGGCGGACTTCTGTCATAATTAGTCAGTGCAAGATAATAACACTTCGCAAATGTTTTATTTTCTCCTTATTACTAAATGCCCCGAAAAAAAAGGGCTTGTTCTATATATCTTATGAGACGCAATTTCTTGATAGTAAGTTGAAAAAATGTCAATTTTTATTCCATTGTTATAATTATGCATTAAACTTAAGAATGTTCATAATATTAAATGTCAAAATGAGGAAAAATAGAAGTGTTGCAAGGTCGGTTTGTTTGAGCCTGTTTTTGAACGGTAGTGGTGAATGCCGGGCAACATTAATGTCCTTCAGCACATCTTTAGTCTGAGCTCAGCAGTTAGACTAAATTCGTATTAAGAACCGTGTTCAAGGTTTTCACCGTTTCACAATGATTCCATGCATGCAAACTTCCGTTCAAAGGAAAAATTCAAACATATTTTTTTTCAAATATGAATTTTTTTTCTGATATAAAACAAAACAAAAATATGTAAACTAGAGACAATATTTTTAATTATATAGATTAATACATTTTAAACTCCGAAGATAATTGAGTAAAAACTGTTGTTAGGAAAATAAGAAAAATATATATCAAACATACAACATACGTAACGAATATACAAGTACAATCTCTTAACGAAAATGCACGAGAAAAATATGCAGTTGAATTATCTCTAAATTAATGGTGAATTGGATCTATACGTCAATTGATGATCATGTGCGTCAAATGTTAATTCTAATACGCTTCACACTATTCCCCTATCAAAAAGATATGATTATCACACGGTATATGCACAGCATAAAACATAACAAGAGCACCGCTAGGCGGAGCATTATATGCCCGAAAGTGTTTTTTTTCTTTTCTAAGGATGAAGCATTTGTAAGACATAACATAAATTAAATAAAGTATTACCCCCTTCAAATAGCAATCCTCCTATAAAGTTTGAATATTGTGGGCCAAATGGAACTTCAGTTATGCTCTGGAAACTGTTTTTAGTTTTGAGGTAATAGCTACCTTGAACTTTGACCGTGTGACCCCAAAATGAATAGGGGTCTTCTACCCAATATGGACAATCATCCTATGAAGTTTCAACACTATGTGCCAAATAGAAAGTAACTTATGTTCTGGAAACTTTTTTTTTAGTTTTAAAGTAATAGTGACCTTGACCTTTGACATTGTGACCCCAAAATCAATATGGGTCTTTACCCAATATGGACAATCATCCTCTGAAGTTTGAATATTGTGGGACAAATAGACCTTAAGTTATGCTCTGGAAACTGTTTTCAGTTTTAAAGTAATAGTGACCTTGACCTGTGACCTTGTGACCCCAAAATCAATAGGGGTCTCCAACCCAATATGGACAATCATCCTATGAAGATTGAACACTGTCAGCCAAATGGAACTTAAGTTATGTTCCGGAAACTGTTTTCAGTTTTAAGATCATAGTGACCTTGACCTTTGACCTTGTGACCCCAAAATCAATAGGGGTCTTCTACCAAATATGGACAATCATCCTATGAAGTTTGAACACTGTGGGCCAAATGGAACTTAAGTTATGCTCCGGAAACTGTTTTCAGTTTTAAGGTCATAGTGACCTTGACCTTTGACCTTGTGACCCCAAAATCAATAGGGGTCTTCTACCCAATATGGACAATCATCCTACAAATGGACCTTAAGTTATGCTCCGGAAACTGTTTTCAGTTTTAAGGTCATAGTGACCTTCACCTTTGACCTTGTGACCCCAAAATCAAAAGGGGTCTTCTACTCTTCTACCCAAAATGGACAATCATCCTATGAAGTTTGAACACTGTCGGCCAAATGGACCTTAAGTTATGCTCCGGAAACTGTTTTCAGTTTAAAGGTCATATATATAGTGACCTTGACCTTTGACCTTGTGACCCCAAAGTCAATAGGGGTCTTCTACTCAATATGGACAATCATCCTATTAAGTTTGAACACTGTGGGCCAAATGGAACTTAAGTTATGCTCC